CGCTGCAGCGCTGCCTGCATAGCCGCGACGTGCCCTGCATGCTTTGAGCTCCACAAGCAACCCCTATGAGCTCTGGTCGAGCTCCATGAGCGGCTTAGGCCGCAGGGAATGTAAATCCTATCCTATCCTAATCCTGCCTTGCTGGTAGGGCTGCTGCGGCTTGTGCGACTTTTGCGGCTGCTGCGGCTTCTCTGGAAGCTGCGGCTGCTGCGGCGGGCTGCTATTGCGCCGGCGCCGGCCGCGCAGCGCCCCGCCGGGCTAAGGCTCCTTCCCCCGCCGGCCCTGGCAGCGCCGGCGGCGGTGGGGCGGCCAAGGCGGGCGGTGCGGCGTCCATTGGCGCTTCCCGCCGCATGGCTTGGGCCGGTTTCAACCCAAAATGGGGTGTGCGGCGGCGGCGGGGGACGTAAGCGGCGGCGGCGGGGGACGGGGGTGTGGGGCGGCGGCGGGGGGGGATGCTCACCGCTCTTGCCTGCTTGCTTTGAACTGCTCCGCTTGTGCCCCCCCATCGCGCCAGGCTGGCCGCGGCGACGCGGATGCGCAGGCCAAGGCGGCGGCTGAGTTTCTGGCCACACGCAGCCCCGAGCAGCTGGCCACCATTGCGGAGCTGGCGGCCAAGGCGCCGACGATTGGGGACGAGATGCGGAGCCAGCGGGGGGAGGCGCGCCGCTGCTTTGCGTCCGACGAGGAGGCCGTCGCATATGCGGAGAGCAAGGGCATGCTGGTGGTGCCCATGGCAATGCACGCGCGCCCGCTGGAGCTGCTGCTGCTCGCAGGCCTCGCGCCTGACGCCGAGGCAGACGCCGAGGCAGACGCCGAGGCAGACGCCGAGGCAGACGCCGAGGCAGACGCCGAGGCAGACGCCGACGGCAACGGCGACGGCGATGGCGGCGGCAGCAGCAGCGGGGGCGGCGGCGGCGGCGGCGGCCCCTCTGCCGCACCGCTGCCGCCCCGCAGCGGCGCGCAAGCTTTTGCGGCGCGCTGCAGCCGCGCGCGCGATGAAGTGGAGGCTGTGTTCCAGAGCCTGGCGTCGCCGGCCGCGCAGCTGAGGCGCCACAAGCGCCACCAAAAGCGGGCCGGCAGCGAGACGCTTGAGGAGTTTGCGGCGGACGAGGCGCGCGCGCTGGAGGAGCTGCGGGGCCTCCTCGAGCAGATGCGCAGCGCGGCGGGCGGGGGCAGCGGCGGCGGTGCGGAAGAGGCGGGGGAGGGCACCCCTGGCGCGGCGGGCGGCGCAGCCAGCGGCAGCGCGGCGGGCTGGCGCGCTGACGGCCGGGAGGACGACTACAGCGACGACGAGGAAGGCGGCGGCGGCGGCAGCGACAGCGGCAGCAGCAGCGGCGGCAGCAGCGAGGAGGGCGACTGGTGCAGCGACGACGGCGGCGAGGAGGTGGCGGCGGCGCTGCCAAGCCCGGGCGCGTCGGCGCTTGCAGAGGTGCTCACAGCTGTTGTGCGGGAGCTGCCTGCACAGCTGGCCGACTGCGACGACGCCGACAAGGCCGCTGCGCTGACGCTCCTCCACGCGACGCGTCTGGTGCATCTGTTTGACAACGCAATGTACGCCGCCCTCGGCAAGCTGTGGCGGTTTGTCAGCAGCCAGCGCGCCTCCGACATCGCCGCGCTGACGCCGCGGGTGATGGGTAGGTGCCGCACCGTGGCGCACTGGCTTTCGCAGGCTGGCTTTGACTGCGCTTTGAGTGCCCACCGCCGTGTACACCGCCAGCTCAAACCAACCCCAAAGCTCAGACCCAGCCCCGCGGTCAAAAACCCCCTCTCAGAGAGGCCCCGCTTCCTGCCCGGCGGTTACAAGTGGGTGGAAGGCGTGGCGTGCAAGGACGGGGTGCCGCAGTCGGCGGAGCAGCTGGCCAAGGACTGGGCAGACCAGCATCGCAACGCGGGTGGGGATGCGTTTGTTGGGTTGCTTGGCGGTTTGGGGTTTGTTAGGGGTGCAAACGGACGCCGGGCATTGGTTGTTTGCTCCTCTTTGAAGGGGCGCTCTGGTGTTTCTTTGGCAGTTGCCCACACAGCATGCACCACCAACCCCTCATGCAGGCCTTGCGGGCGGCGGAGAGGGCGCTTTGGGGCGCGAGGGCGGCGACCTGGCCATGGCGGCGAGTGCGGTGAGGGCATGCCCGTGTTGTAAACTTATTGCAAGTTGTCGCGACACCTGAACTGCGCATTTCGACAAGTAGGGCCTGTCTGCCCCAGCCGTTTCAACACCTCGCCTCCCCAGCCCCCTTTGCAACCTCCCCAAACCGTCAAGCTCTGGGCAGCCAATGCCATGCGAAAAACGCAAGCGGGGCATGCCTCTGAGCCGTGCCGCACGGCTTGGGACTGCCTGATTCCCCGCCCTGCCCCCCTCCCACCCCCAAACTGCCAACCGCAGGTGCTGCACGGGCCTGGCAGGGCGGCTCCCCAGGGCGCATGGCTGCCGTTTGCGGACGGCGACCCGGAGCGCGCGAGGAAGATGTCCAACACGACAGCCGCGCAGCGCCGCCGCCAGCGGGAGGCCGAAGCGAAGCAGAACGCTGCAGCGGCAGAGGCCGCCGAGGTGGCCGCCGCCGCCGCGGCGGCGGCCGAAGCCGCCAAAGCTGCCGCGGCCGCTGCGCCCGCTGCCGCTGCGGGCTCGGACGCTCTCGCGGCCGAGGCCGCCGCGGCCGAAGCGTACGCAGCCGAGAAAGCCGCGGCGGCCGAGAAAGCCGCACAGGCCGCGGCCGCCGCGCAGAACCCAGCCGCCAAGAAGAAAAAGGCAGACGCGATGGCGTGGGACGCCGAGGACCTGGCCTACCTGAAAGGGTTCGTCGGCGGCAGGGCCCTCGCCCAGCTGCCTCGCGGCTGGACCGGCAAGGCCATGCAGGGCCTGCAGGCGGCGCGCGCAGCGCGCGGCGCTGCCCCCCTGCCCGACGAGAAGGACATGCAGCTGTACCACAGAGTCAGTTACGTCGTCAAGGACATGATCAAGCGCAGCGACGGCGACGGCGGGCACGGCGGGCGCGGCGGCGGCGGGCACAGCGGCTGAGGTCGGCGGCGCGCGCGGGGGCGGTCAGCGCGGCGGGCGCGGCGGCTGAGGTCGGCGGCGGGCGCGGCGGCTGAGTTCGGCGGCGGGCGCGAGCGCCAGCGCGGAGGACGCCGGCCAGGGACAGGCGCGGCGGCGGGGCGCAGCGGCGGCAGGCGTGAGCGCCGCGGCTCAGCTTGGCAGCGAGCGCGAGCGTGGGCGCCGGCGGGGCGCGGCAGACGGCGGGCGCGGCGGCGGGGGCGAGGGGCGGCGGGGCGCAACGGCAGCAGGCGCGAACGCTGCGGCCGAGGTCGGCGGCGAGCGCGCCGGGCGCCGGCGGCGCTGGAGCGGCGCACGGGGGCGGCGGCGCGGCGGCGGGGGCGAGGGGCGGCGGGGCGCAACGGCAGCAGGCGCGAACGCTGCGGCCGAGGTCGGCGGCGAGCGCGCCGGGCGCCGGCGGCGCTGGAGGGCGTGGCGGCAGATGCGCAGCGGCGAGCAAGGGCGCCCGCGGGGCGCGGCAGACGACGGGGGAGGAGCGGTGGCGGGGCGCAGGGGCCGCGGCCGGCGCGCGCGCGCTGCGGCTGAGTGTGGGCGGCGCGGTGCGCCGGCGCGTGCATTTTGCGAGTTATTGACCCAGGCTGCGGTGCAAAAGGTTGCTGCCCCCCAGCAGCAAACGGCGTGTGGGGCACTCCAAAAAAAGACCCGCAGCAGAGGCCAAAAACCAACCGCCCCACCCTTCAGCGCGCGGCTCTCCCCCGTCCCGCGCCGCAGCGCGCGCCGGCGGGGGCGGGGGCAAGCCGCTCCTTCAACGTCGCCGGCGCCGTGTCGGGGGTGTTGAGCCGCCCGCTGTGGAAAAGGGGCAGGGATTGGGCTGGGTGGCGCAACGGTCAGCGCGTGAGATGGCGGGCGGCGGCGCCGCCGCCGCCGCCGGCGCCGCCGCGCGTGCAGCTCGCTCCTTCAACGTCGCCGGCGCCGTGTCGGGGGTGTTGA